AGTGATATGAATAAAACAATTGCAAAGAGATAGTTAAAGAAAAGGGTAAAATTATAATAATAATAATTTTTAGATTTCAGTTTTTTGTGTTTGTCTAACAGTTTAATCAAATTTAATACTTAAATTTCAGTTTATAACAAACAGTATGCGAATTAAAAAATTCAGCATTCAACATTTAAAATTCAGCATTCAATTTTCAGTGTTCAGTTTTCAGTTTTATCAAACACCACCTAAGTGAGTATTTGAATTTTTTATTTATCTACCCTATCCGATCAAGTGTGGTATTGCTACCCGACTTCTAGTCAAATTAATCAAATAGGAAGTCAGATAGGAAATCTGATAAACATTTTTGTAGTTATTAATTTTGGAATCATTTTAACAATTAAATTAAATAACATGCACTAATTTAATCAAAAGACCAAAAGTTCTTCCGTATTTCTACTCGATTTTTTTGACTAACCGTTTAATACGATCAGATAAAATAAGAAATTACGACGAATCAAAAATTTAAATACCCTTGTGATCAGTAAAATCTACTAACTTTTTCTGTTGAGGGTCACTGATCCAACTATTTATATTAATTTTGAAAAAAAATTGATATATATTTTTGATATAATATTATTGAAATGTAAAAATTTAATTGAATTCATTAAGGTAATGACGTGATAGCTGAGCTAATTTGTACTATTACTTTTTGATAAGCGGATCATTTTCCTAAAATATCAGACTATCTTAATTGCTTGACACCTTTTCCCGTCTTTATGGCTAACATCGAGTGGAGTATATAATAACTGCTTCCACGAGCAGCTGCAGAACTTTAATAAGGGCTACTTGAGTACGGTACCAACAAAAAATATTTTGAATTGTAGCTTCAAATTTAATTATTTTAAAATATATTTTTATAATTTGGTGAGTTAATTTACGATTATTTTTATTGGTGATTTATTATTATTATGGTTATTTTTATCATTATTATGATAATTATTTTTGTAAATTTTTTACCGTACAAAAAAAAACTATAACTTTTATGGGTTACTAATCATATTTGTGAATTTGTTTATCACTGTTGTAAGTTTTTTTATCACTATTATAATAACCATTTTTGTCACTTTTTTTAATATCACAAAAATGATAAAAAAAAATATCTATAATAATGATAAAAATACTCATAAATATAATAAATTTTGATATAATATCGAAATTCTATTTTTTTGGTACCCCAGTCAAATTTGGGCATATCCTTCGGCAGACGATGCTTTGACATTTGGTTAACAAGGTCAAACCTATTTCATTGTCGAATCTAACATCTTTTACAAGAGTAAATCTGCATCTCATTTAAAAAGGTTTAATATTATGGTACCTAAAATATTTTTAATATTGTTCTAAAAATTACTATTTTTTAAGTTTAAATGAATTATACTGAGGTGGAATGACAACTGTTGAAGGTAATTAATTCATATCATAAAAATTATAAAATGGGTAAATAGTTTTATTAGTGTTAGGATCTCATTTTCAAGCACCGAACCTTTAGAAGAAGGTAATAATGTATGAAAGAAATTGAGAGTTTTCTCCCATATAAAGACGAGTTCTGAATTTGGTTAAGGTGTTTATTCTGTGTCTTTGTTTGACTGAAAGACGAAAGAATATAGAGTATTTTGAAGACCCCTTTTGGAGCTATTGCATATGACATGTGGTAGAATATAATTACATAAAATCTTATATTCTAATCAAATAAAAAAAATTCTAATAATAAATAAAAAAAAATGGTGAGGACTGGTTCTCAAGTCCTCTCTCTCTTAACTAGTTGACAGTTAAGAGCAAGAGGCTCTCATTACTATAGAGCCTGATAAAGAGGATCTGATATACATAATTTTAACCTACATACGAAAAATTTGTTTAATTTTTCATTACTTAAACTCGTAATGTTCGTGTCAATATATAACAACCTTACTAGTGTGCCACATTGCACCTGTGGTTCAAATTACACATAATTAAAAAATTTACTCAAAGTTCGAGTCTAAGATAGGAGATATTCGTATTCTCTCAACCCTATGTATTGCTGAGACTAGTACCTAGTAATAACCCTAGCATAAAACATATAACACCCCTTATAAAACTATCAAATAGGTTTCAATAAGAATAGAGAATGCCCATCTGAGCATTTAGGACTATTCAACATGAGTAACAATCGACTGAGAAATAGAAATATCCTCGTATCTAATTTATAAGACTTTTGTTTGTAAGGAAGTTTGAAAATATTGGTAGGCAACTTCACTCTCACCGTGGAGAAAATTTATTCTCAAACTCAAACCCATAATATATTTGCTCCAACATATGAACACTTATAATTGTTCTAATTTTAACATCCATCAAACTAGTAGAATGAAGCCATTTCATTATCTTTTAAGGCTCCCTAATACAGTGCGTATAAAAAAAGAATACATCACATATCAAGACCGTCAAAAACAGTACTGATCGAGCAGGGCTAACTTTGAGTAACAATGTCAAAAAATTTCACAAGATTCCATTTCAAAATGTTCTTGGCAATCTGAACAAAATTGAAGACTTGAGTCTTCAACCCAGTTGATTTTTAGTCAAACAAACGTAGTTTATGACACTTTTCTATTTTTATCCTGTTGTTTAAAATATTTTTGAAATATTGAGTTTTTGCTTGACTTTTCTAGTAATTTAAGACCATTAGAGCTTCTTATTTATATTGTGCTGAAAACTAATTCAGTAACTTTAGTTTATTTTGAATAAAACTTATAAACGAATTCTCTTTCAATTTTCAATTCACTTAATATCTTAGGAATCAACAAATAATAATTTGTATTATTTAATTTCATTTTTTTATTCACGCTACCCTAAATCACTCCACCACCTAATCCAAGCATCCCCACACTCCAAAAAAGCTTCCAAAAAGAATTGAACCAACCTTCCACTCCCCATTGTTAAAAGCAATCATATGGTCATGTACTAGCAAAAACAAAAAGGACCATAGTGTACAGATAAAGCCAATGGAATTTAAAGTTTCTAGAGCCCCGTTAATGTATCTCACCAACTCTAATTAAATCTGGGGCGACTTGAAATTTTTTGCTACTAATAATTATATATAATACCAGATGCCAAACCACTTTTGTCCGACATATGAAGCTGAATTTAATATAAATATAACCTAGCAAATACTGTAATATTACTTTCTCATTCATTAAAATTTGACTCAAGCTTGGTGCACTAGCTAAAAAGTAGGACAACCCAGTAATGCTCCCATCATTGTAATGTTTGAAGAAGGTTAGATGTATACAACCTTACCCCACATGCACAGAAGTTGTTTCCGCATCTCAAACCTTTGCCGGTCCGGTCACAATGGAGTAATTTAAATGTAAAAATAATTCAACCAATGCAACAGTTATTAAGGTTTTCTAGACTGAAAACAGCAAGAAGTTACAAAGAAAAAGTGATAGTGAGGCTAGTTGTATCAACTGGCTACCTAATAAGATGAGGTGCCTATAGTGAGTGAGACAGTAGACCAACCCCACAACAAACAAGAAGAGGCATCCAAAGGAAAGAGGTATGTCAGAAGACCCCCTTTTTTGGACTAAATGTCCCTTTGCTTAACAAACGGGTAAAAAAATAAAAAATTAAAAAAAATAACAAACGGGTGCATTCACTGGACTTGTCACGGATCTAAAGAGCAAGAGACTTATCTTTAAGATAATTCACTTAACTGACCTTGAGGGGCCAAGAATGGGTCATATGTGCATGAAACACCCGTTTATAGCAGAGTCTGGGAATGGCAATGATAGGCAGCCTTACCTTCAGTTTTAGAGAAGCTGATACCCAAATTTGAACTCACGACGTATCGCTTGGCCAAATGAGCATCTGTTATCACTTTAGTCCGGCCTCTAAGAAAATAGAGACATAAAAGAACAAAGAATAAAATTTTAAAGGAGATATAAGAACTAGAGTAGGTAAAACCATCATACATAGATATGTTTGTGGGGTCGGCGGCCAGATCTAAGAGTGTCTAGTCAATAAAGGAAGCCAATTAGTAATGTAAACTTTGAATTCGAATGGATAAGCAGGCATGGCAACTTTTCCTCTCTTTTGTTTTATCCTTTTTTCCCTCCTCTAAAAGGAAAAAGCAAAAGAGAATAGGATAGATTAAACAAAGTAACAAAGCTAAGTTTGAAATATCAGAAGCTCTAAATTGTGAAGCAGTGATGGCACCTAACCAATCTACTGACTTGACAGTGCTTCTTTGCCTTACCCAATTTCAGAAAGCTCTTTTCCACCACCATGTTTATCTTACCTACTAATTGCTGCTGGTTTATATTTTCCCATGAGTATAAGCAACAACACCATGAATACAAAGTAACCTACTTGGCATTAGCAAAGAAGATGGCACTGAACTTAAATGATAGAGCAAATCATTTTGATATGTTTTCTAGGGAATCTCTATCTTAGTGTCAATATTGACAGAGAGTTAGTCAAAATATGGATCAGGGTAGTACAACTATATAAGAGTTAGACAATTTACAGGTATATAAAGCTTAGAATTTGCTAATATTTGCTTTCCGGAAGAATTTGCTAATAATTCGAGCCTATGAATTGAAATGTCAGCCAAAAGACCAAACGACCACACACAAGTTTTGACCTAAGACAGCTACAAAATCAATGAATTCTTAAGCTGAAAGATTATTAAACAGTTAGAAGCTGTACCTTGACTAGTAGAACGGACATCAAGTTCACCTTGGGTGTGAAGCTGCTTTCAAACTGGCTTTACGGAAGCAAATGAAGTTGAACTTCATGATTAGTGAAATCGAAAACCTGAATGTTACGATCAACATAATTGGAATGGATAAAACGGACTCCATCTAATTTCAGCTGATATTGTCAGAAGGAAAGTATGAGAGCTTCCTGAGATATTAAACCAGTGCAATACTTGCACGATTTAGCAGAATCAGAAACCTGTATATCCATCATGTTTCTACTTTTTTCTCCTATTAATTGCGTGGATATTAATTTCATTGATTTAATACGCAAATCTTCATAAAATATACTATACAATAGAATTTTCATTGTCACAATTCTAAAGACACAAGAATGGCAGATAAAGAAATGGAGGATGTTCTTATCTGTTGTGTTGAAATAACTATCATCTACAATGCAAAATTGATGACTGGTGTAATTTTCTTTGTGTGAAGATGGGCAGGTTGGAGTACAAACATTCAAATTTCAGAATACAACCGTACTAAACGTAAGGAATCAAATGATGTGTTCAGCCGCCACTCTCGTTGCTTTTTGCTAAGTGGCCTTCCTTTCCCAGCTTTTTCTCTATTTGCCCTAACATCTGCTAAGCCCCAAGTGCAACCATTTGTTTCCATATCAAAAGACACAAGTCTGAAAACACCATCATGTTCAGATGATACACCAGTCTCGGCTACTTCACTCACATACTTCACGTACATAGGCCGATCCTTGAACCGGTCAAGATCTTGTGGAATACGAACAACCCTTTCAACCCCGGGTGAAGATACCTAAAAAGAAGATCATCTTTTCAGATGCGCAAAGGAAATGAATAACATAGGACAACATACGCCAAACTTTCCCCTGCCAAAATTTCATGCCGCGGTGCAGTTAAACAAGATTGCTGGAAAAAGAAAAAAAATCAAACATGGTGTAGCAGTCCAATTCCATCACCCATACCTATAGGTGTCACGTCCCAATTTTTACAAATAGACATGAACCAAACTATTAACAATCAACCACGAGAGCACTGCTAAAATAAACAATTTACATAAATTAAACCATCCATCTTTCAATATCTGACTAAACAAATCTCAAGAAACATAATTTAATCAGCAAGGTAATAACCAACACCTTTAACCAAACTAAATCTCTCATTTAACTAGTGTAAAGGTAATAACATTCTACTTTATCATAAACCAAATGAAACTAAAATAGATAGCAAAACCCTAAGCCTTGAAAAGTGAATCCACATCTTGATTCGCTTCAATCTCATAGTTCTCATTCTCACCTAAAGTAGTATCTTCTCCAATACCAAAATCTGAAAAATGTTAGAGGAAGGGATGAGCACAACAAGCTCAATAGAAAATCTTTCCCAAACCTAAATAAGGTTTATAAAATATATAAAAGCAGGTCGGTCTCACTTTATAAAATAAATATATAACAGTTGAAGTAAAACATGAGACAATTAAAAAAGGAGTGGAACTAGTTCTCAAACCAATAGATAATCATTACAAGTATATCTCATGTACGCAGGTTGAATACCATGAATCTACACATCGAGATTATCCGGACCCCACACACACTCAAATCATCCAACCAATCCTCGCATGGATACACTATTTTAAGAAAGAGCGTATACCGATGCATTGGTACTAAAAAAAATTTCCAGGAATAATATACTAACCCTCCACCTCAATCCACGTGAGCAAATAGTGTGAATTCTTGAATCCTCACAAGGACCCAAGCAACTCCACTATTAGTAATAGGCAGCCTTCAAACCCCTCAAAATAAGAAACTCATTTGAACACTCTACGATATCCGATTGAATGCAACTCACATTCATCATACCCACCCATACAAGAGATAATAACAACACCTTTTCATAAAATCCACATATACAACAATTCATAATTCCACAATTCTCAAAATAGAAGAGTAATCAAATCAAAACATGTAAGATATTGTAAAAATATTTATCTAATTTGCCCATAATCAAGATCTAAGGTTTTTCATCAAGAACATATAATTTAGGACATAAATTATGTGCTTATTCAAGAAAGCAATAGGTATAATAGAATAGAAATCAAAATTGTTGTTTATCTATTTTCGGTTCTTGCGACTCTCTTAGCCTCCTAAGGTTGAAAAATTGCTTAAACAACTCTAGAAGACATCTCTAGGGTATTTATAGGGTGAAAATAAGTTCAGGCAGCACGGGCCTGATCGCTGTAACAATCGCATCTCCGTTCAAACGGAGACTTTTGTGTGTGAATGGAGTTAAACGGGACCTTTGCTTCCAAACGAAGCTGGCTCCCAGTATCTTCTGTTTTTTTTGTGAAAAGCCATCCGGCCTGCACTCTGTTCACGTGAAACATGTTCCGATCGAACGGACTCAAAGATATTGTAACCTCTCACACTTTTTCAAACCTATTTTTATCATGTTAGATGCCGATTCACAAAAATTTCATGAAATACACTTTTGTAACTCTTGAAGTCTACTTCTAATGACATAAGAATTAGATCAATCATACATCGGGTTAAAAAGTTATAGCCAAAAATATTGAGGTAGTATCAAATTCCTTCCTACTTGAATTCTCCTAAAAATGCGTTTTAACTTCAGAATACTTTCAAATTTCTAAAACACGTCATATCACCTTTCATGATTTCTTGACCTTCCGGATTCAATGGTAACCTCATTTTGACCTAAAAACATTTAGATATTTGCCTAGCTACCCTTCTTAAGCATAAACCACCTCCAAAACTAAATCTGACACGAAAGTCAATACGCGTGAAACTCAAATTTCATGATCAATCTTTCAATAATGCTTCAAAATTTTTACAATTATTTTATTTATCTTAGGAGAACTCTTAAAATGGTATTATCCTTATTTCATTATAGTACAGGTCTTACAATAGGTGTGCTTATTCATTCCGGTGCCAAAATCCAAAAGCCAAAGGAACAGCTTGAACTTTTGTACAACTAAATTCTATTACATGTGGTACAAAGTGACAATGGCTCAAAAACAAGAAGAATGTAATCAACAAAGTTGAGACGATGGACTACCTCCAGACATATGTCCTCAGGGATAGATCCAACAACCACAGCTTCATCTAGCCGTGCTCTGTAGCTTGAAGAGAAAGCTTCAACATCTGTCATACTGGGAGAACCGGACCTGTGAAAGATCATTGCGGATCAAAAGATTAAAAGCACTTTTGTCATATAAAAATGGCTGGTGCAGTTTCAACATGCACGTCAATGATCAATTGGGATGAAACCCAAACAATTTTATTAAACTAACTGATCATAATCATGTTAAAACAACGAACTACAAGTGCAGAAAGAAATAGTGAAGAACAATAAATTGCCAAAATCAAAGCTTAAAGTAAAAACAATATATACGTATTTAGATAGTGATCTAAGATATAATCAAAACTTCACTTTGGGAATGAGCGTGGATTTCCAATGAACCTGGGGAGAAGGTTTCATAAGTAAAGCCCAGGTTCATTTCCTATTATAGAAAGTTGAAACAAGAAGTTAATAGGTAGAGTTCAAGGAACATAACATTACACATTAAAAGAAGAAAATAAAGGGAAAAAAAGAGGGTACTAAAAATACCAGAAACAAAGGAAGAAACTTGCTCAAAGAGTTCTTTTTGGGCATAAAGTTCCCTCAAATAGTCAGCCTATTTTGATCAGCACAATAACCCCATTTTCTCACAAGCTTCAGATTTGTGATGAGGAAACCAGACAGATTGGTATCCTAGAACTTTGTTTCCTTGTCAAAGAGAAGTGTGGAAGAAAGGTAATGATACTTCAGGATCCAGTATGAGGAGTCAGAAATGTTGGTGTAGATGCTTACGTATTTGACAGTTTCTCTATGCGGATTTGAATGGTGGAATTTAATAATGTCTTGAATGCATAAATTCCCAAATCTCCATCAAATGATAATGCAACTTCTTCGGCAATTGCTAATGCTACTTTATCCCACCCTGTCCCAGCAAGAGAGATTCCACCTCCTCCACCTCCATCTCCAACCTTCAGAAAAGGGGGAAAATTGTTAAGCAGAAGGTCAACTTATCTACTTTATTAGGGGGATGAAATAAATAATTATTCAACATAAAACATTTATTCAATTCGTATGAGAATCATTTACTGCAGAAATCTTACATAAAGGTCAGCATCTTCTGTAAAGTACTCATCCTCAAAATCGCCATCACCATTAACCAGGTTATCTGAAAATTCATGTAGAGATTGTCAATAAGTGTATATGGAGTAACAAAAGGCATAATATTTTTTTAACAACTTCCTAGTTTTCAAATAAGGACTATTGTGGCTAATCCAGCTACCCCAAGAGAAAGAAGAAACAAGTTTTTTAGAATCCCCACAATTAGAGCAATTAGCTTAGCTAGAGTTTTGCTTGGCCAGCTTAGTACAGAACACTAGCTCTCTCTTCCTTAACACTTCATTCACTGCTAGCCCGGAGTAAGTTAGATTTAGTATCAAACACAGTAAAATTGTATCGATGTCATTGTCTGGAAGGTTGTCAAGGAGGCCTCAACAGATAAACAACTAGTGTAAAGTGTAAACCATAGACTACAGTGAGCACATATTCACATGGTCATGCAAAACAATAACAAACAATTACATTTTTCAGGATATCAAATCATTAAGTTTCTTAAAGAGTTTTTCAGAAACTAAAACTATGAAAAATAAGACAACAAAGAAGACTCCTCAGAAAACTGAAATATTTGATCACACTTTTTGTTCTATACCGACTAGCTAATTATAAGGAATTACTCTGTATAAAGAGCACAACCACATTACACAACCAAACTGGGGAAGACGACAATTTATAGATGAGCATCATATTGTAGAACTATTTTAAACTCCAAACCTAATCACAATGTCAGCAAATACCTTAAACAAAATTTTCAAGGCACGTCAAAAGGTCTCTATTCCGCACAGTCTAGAATTGATTACACTAGTTTGCCTTTAAATCCAAGCAATCCATTCTTATTTACCCACATTTCCAAACACTCTTGAAAAACAGCTTTAGGACACAATATGAAATTGAATCTTCAACTCCTTGACAAAGCTCACTTATTTGCTCATATTCATAGTCCTATATGCAATAAAACAAAACAATGGCCAAAAACTTTGTGGCTTATATTTAAATATCCAGCTGTCCATGGCCATAGGCTCACTAGTCCAAACCAATGAAAACAAGGTCCAACTGCAAATTTCTTAAAGATAAATGAGTGAAAAACTTAAAGACAAATAAACACAATCGAATCTTCTTTCGTTAAATAAGATAAACACAATCGAAAATTTAAAGACAAATGCACTGAAATACAGAAGATAATGAGTGATTACCATCATCAAATTCATCAAGAGGAAGTTGTTGATCATCTTCATCATCTTCCATAAACACTTCTTCCACAATGCTTGGCTTCAGAACTGGTTCAGGCTGTGAGTTTCTCTTCCTGGCGCTGACAGTACAGGACTTATATGGCAAATAACGAAATGGGTCGAACCAAAATGAGGACGAGAGTTTATGGGATTGGGGTGAAAGCTTGCAGAAGCCACCACTATTCAGACCAATTGGTTGTGATAATGGAGTTACAGAGCTCCATTTCAAGTGGCAAATAGTAGTTAAATCCATTTCTTCGGGTAGTTCTATGGTTCCTCTCAAAGTGTCGCTCGATAGTTCAGAGCTGCAGAGGAAGACGGTCGAGGAGAGAAGAAGCCAGAAATGTAGTGAGCCCACACACACTGCTTTAGAAGAGCAGGATTACCTTAGAAAAAACGGTGTCGTTACTGTGAATGCTTTTTTAGTACTTTCTTTGATTTTTTTTATTTTTATTTTTCAATGTATTTTGGAAGAATGTATGTTCTTGTATATTTTATTTTTTCATATTTAATTGAATGTATAGGAATTAATAATGTACAAATGTATATGTATATGTATAACTATATAAGTATTTATTTAATATCACTGTCACAAAATTGAATTATTAATTTATAAAAATACAACAATAGTCAAAATTAATTCAATTTTCGTCTAGTGTGATTCAATGGTACAAAATTCATCCCAAAATTTTTTTTCTCGCTCAAAAACATCATATTTTCTATACAGATTTTAATGTTAAATAATTCAATTAATATTTAATTTTTAATATTATAAAGTGTCTTCAAGTACAAAATTATTGTTAGTATTACTTATAAGCTGAGATTTATATGAATAATTCTGATTAAATAGTTGTCAAACAAATATGTTGTCTCTTAAAACAAAGTTACTTTTTGCTTAAAAAATTATTTTAAAATAATTACCAACTAGTAATAGTTCTGTAATTTTTTCAAGTAAATTTTTTTAGTAAAAATAATTTCATCACAATTTTAACCTTCTTAGCGCTGTCTTACACCTGTTTAATCATATTAGCAATTACTGTTTATGCTATATAGACTCAACTAAGAATATATATCCGGCCAAACAAAAAAACCTAAGAATATATATAAATCATTACTTTAGAATTAATATGTCTATGTTGACAACATTATGCATGTTGGGTTCTTACCCGCCCTTTTCACTGGATGACCCATAACATATTTCACTTAGAAAATTTTCTTTCTTTCTTTTTTTTTCCGATCAAGAGTGATTGAACTAATTTATGAGCACTTCGACTAATTTCCTCTCCGATCCAATCAAAATCAGACTATTCAAGATTCGAACTCAAAATGTCTAAATTTACGGGTTGTCTCTAATATCACTTGAACTACCCCTTATTTTACCTTCTATAAAAACTTAAAGTCATAGGAAAAAAAATACTAAATAGACTAAAAAACTATCTTAAAAATTTGCCTCAATGAATAACCACAATTGAATAAGTAGTAGATTTTGATAAATACTAAAATTCATAATTAAATTAATGAAAAATAAAGCAATCACATCATCAAACCAATTTTTTTAAAAATGTTATCCATAGGAAAAGGTGTAAAAACATGTTATCCTTGATACATGGATCTAGGGCTTGCGGAAAAATCAAGCAAAAATTTATTTACTTCGAGCTGATTAATGTGGAACACATATTTGCCTTGATAAGGGGATCGATTGCTCTACAAAAATTCTAGCACATACGTGTTCATTTCCACATGTAATTTCATTTCGCGTCAACAGATAAACCACACGCGGCTTACACGATAAACGGACGTGCCTTAAATGAACAATCTCGCAAGCCATGGGAGCACAACAAATTCTCATCACAAGAAAACCAAGAATCATACAAACACAGTTGTTCCAGCAGTAAATCTCCCATCAAACGAATAGCTAAAACTGAAACTGGAAGCCTCCTGAACAGAGAACCAGCAAGATACCAAGAATTTGTCATCAATCATGAATGATATACACAAGTAGGAAGCAAATGGATACAGGAAACAAGGGGAGGGAAATTTACAGATACTTTTAAGGAAAAAAAAAGAATCAACTACCAAATTCCGGTCATTTTTTTTGAATTTCTTCCCCAGAGTACCATAATTTTTAGTTTGAATTCATGTTTTTTAATATCAAATGTGTCTGCAAAACACAAACTGTTTTCCAAAAATTATTTTACATTGAAAAAGGACTTCAAACTACAATTTCAAGTAAACAATGTTAAACTAGGAAATTAATTAGAAATCACGACACAGAGAGAGAATAAAGTTTAAAAAATACAGTAATTTGATCAAAATTCAAGAAAAAAAAAACCTCTTCAAATCGAGGAAGCTGAGGAACAGACTACAACTGCAACAGGAAATAAATACCATAGTGGACTTGAGACTTCTAAAGCCAGTTGAATATTTACCAAAAATGCGTTCTACTGATCCATTACAAGAATAAGTCTAACTTTTTAGAAGCCTCTCCACATATGCCTGCAGAAGGGGAAAAATGTCTGTCCTTAGTACAGTGACAACAATTTCAAAGAGGGACAAATCAGAATTGATAAATTTCTGAAAATTCGTTAGTCGTAATCAAATAAACTCAACTATTCTATTAATAAGTCGGAGAGCACAATAAATGTAATCGAAACAAACTCACCTGTACAAGCTTTGTAATCTTGGGTTGAGAAAATGACAGATACTGATTAATTTTATCTTGTGTCTTCGGGATGTGAACTCCTTGAATGGTACTGGTCACTTTATCAACCACCTTCTTTACAATAGTTTTGTGAACTTCTCTGCTCATCTTACCTTCTTTCCACGTGGGTTTGAGAATCTCCTTGACAAACTCCACGAGTGCAATTTTGAACAACCGCATCTCCTTTTCATCCTTGTTGTTATCGCCCCCATCAACCCTGCCATCCGCATCCATGTTTGCTGAATGAATATTTTCCTGCTCTTGTTTGCAATTCTCAGCTACTAAGTCACCGTCTTTGTTGAATTCTGATATTGCAACTGGCTGTTGCTGCTCCAACTTTGGACTCCCATGATGTACTTCCTCCATACCGTCATCCTGGTGGAGTTTACTGGAGGCAGGATCAATAGAGGACAACAGAGATAAGCCTTCCAAGGGCATTTGACTTTTCTGTTCATGAGAACTGGACAAAAATCCAGGTGGTTGGTTACTGTTGCCAGGCTTGCTGGGCTCCAAACCATCATTCATAGGATCATACAACTCTTGTGACGGTGTTGCTGGGTTCACTGTGCTGAGAGGAGGAACATGGCACGCATTATTGGGAAGAGAAGGCACCATACTTGTGGAGTTGGGGGGATATAACACCGCTTGTGGTTGAGAAAATTGTTGCTCATTTCCAAATCTCCGAGTCAGAGATGCTGAAAGGTTGGCTATTTGAGCAATCTGCTCACTAGTTGCAACATTCTGACGTACTTCAGAGGTTACTGGTGGGACTTCAAATTCCAGCATCTCTGGTGTTTTAACAGCTCCTTGACGAATCAGTGTCTGATTTTGTGGATTCAAAGGAGAGTGAATATATTGCAGCGTCCCATTCAGGTTGATACTATGCCCATTCGAGGAGTTTAGGACGAAATTTGGCCGACTTTGATCAGTTGCACTAAAACTTGAGCAAGGTTGAGAGCAACTACTGTCAACATTCCGATCGAAACCCTGCCCAGACACAAAATCCAGTAGCATGGTATTTCCAGTGACCTTTACCTCGTTCAATCCATTACAACCATCGGTTATTGCAACATGATCTTCTCCCTCACCCCTATGCTCCTGAACAAAAGAATTTTCAGACACCATTTGCTGCATGACTGTGATAGCTAGCTGGTGGCCTAAAGCTTCTTGTATTGTTTTAGTTTCCTGGACATTTGTATCCAGAGTTTGCAATTGTGGACCTGAGGAAATCAATTGGGTCGCTTCTCTACCAATGGATTCTTCCATACTCCTGAATTCAGTAGTACTCATGTGTGCACCATTACTACCCCTCCTCAGGTGAGGAGAAAAGTATTCAGCTCTCTCAGCAGCCTCACTATCATTCTCCAATGTGTGGCCCCAGCTATCTCTAGTCTGCTTCTCAGCACTTGCTGAATCAGAAACATTCATTTTCCCAGCATAACTGTCACCCCGAGCAGTGGACCTTGAATTGTTTGAGACACCTTTCACATCATCCCATGGTGGACCATTGCATGATATGCTATTGTGATCCAAATTGAGGACCACTCTGTCATCACACAATCTTCCTTCAAGGGTGCCTGCTGTTGGACCATCATGAGTCGCATCATCTGATGTTGGACCATTCCATGATTTGTCCTTGTCATCCAAATTGTGGCCCCATCTTTCATCATGTGACCTCCGTTCAAAATTTCCAGATGTTGAACCATCATGGAAAAACCTGCAATCAGCCCGATGGCATTTACCCATCATAAAATATTTGCAAGGGATCTTGCGGCTAGGTTGGCGCTTGCCATCATGACCAAAGGATGAATTTTTATTGCCTCTCTCATATTCATCACCAGAAGCACCATAGTGGGGATATCTGCATGATGCTCCCCAATGACACTTACCTTTCAGAAAATCCTTACAAGTAGTTGACGCCTTGCTGCCATTCCTCAGTGGCATATCCTCTTCGTAGCCATGTCCATACCCATCAGAAACATCATCCCGTGGGTAATCCCCAGGCCTTTTATTGTTGACATGTTTTAAAACACCTCCATGCTCTGGTTTACTTCTCCACCTTTCTGCAAACTCATTTTCTGAGCAGTCCCCATTTCTGTAATTGAGGTTATCCTGATGAAGGAACCTGCACTGACTGCCTCTCCGACACTTCCCCCCGCAAAATCTCTACATGGTTGAGATGATATTCCCAACCCACTTCTTCTTTTGCCACTCCATCCAAAAGGTTCACGTCTATGATCAGACAGTGGGCTCCGACTCCGGCTCCTGCACCAGCCTCTTTCCCTGCCTCTGCTCCTGCTCCGGCTCCGGCTCCGGCTTCTGCCCCTGCCACTGCTCCTGCTCCTGCTCCTGCTCCGGCCTCTGTCCCTGCTCCTGCTCCTGCTCTCACCTCTGCCTCTATGCACATTATCAAACAAGAAACCCCCAATGGTGAACTTGAACACTTCAAAAATTTTAATCACAAAAATTCTACAAACTACACTTTAACTGAAGAAAATAAATATGGAAAATATTTTTCAGTCACGAAGACTATTAAAGAAAGCCAAATACGAGACTCTAAACTCGGGATGTACACATAGGTAGCATAAATATTTAGTTTCAATCTGGAAATATCATAAATTCTTCAAGTGGAAATTAGAAGTTGCAAGTCAATTTACTTGAGGTCAATCAATTCTTCAGCAATTTTTTGCCAAGTGAAAAACTAAAAAGAATGAAAAAAATAAACTTTAAAAAGAAAAGCACAATAGCATGGTAATAAGTATTTTCAAGTAATATAAGACTAACCACTACACATTGACCATAAACTCCTCCAAAGACAACGGAACATTCATCATAGTGATTAAGCTTTTAGTATGCCCAAATACAATTACAATTGCACAATCACAAACCTGCGAGAGCGGCTCCAACAATTTTCTGGGGAGCGGCTCCTTTTTTGTGGCTCGAATTCATCAAAAGTTGGAGACATTCTCTTTCTGTAGCTGCTATCCCCACTCAATTTCCTCATGGTTTCTGGAATTTCATGTCTGTCTCTTTTGATGCTGTTAACCGTCTGTGCACCGCGGTTTGCTTGCAAGGTTTCCCAAGATGGCCATCCAGAAGATTCTTCACACTTCCATGTATTATTGGCATCTGAATCAGACCATTGAAGACAATGACCATCACGGAAACTTGAATGACTTTCTTTTCCATGCCTATCATTGTTTTCACTGATTTCAGCTGGAGGCTGACGGTCCTCTTTCATATCCCACAGAGATTTGCGTTTTCTGGATGTGTTACTCATTATGTAACCTCGCAAAAAGTGTCTGCAATAATTACTTTGTCTCAAACAAGATGCAGCATAATCTGCTAGTAAACAACAGTCAAATTTAAAAGAGACATAAATTTTTGAAGACATTAAAAAGCTCTTTCTAATGTCCATTCATTCTTAGTTCTGAGAGAGTGATTGTGCGTTTTATACTCAGGTAACCCGTAACCAATCTACATCAAAAGGCCATTGTGAATAAGTACGAACTCCTGCTAAGAAACAGCTGACAAAAAATAACTAATAACAAAACACTCGACATTGTTTGTCATTTTTCGCAGAAAATTCTTTGGCTTTGGTTTTCCTTCAACATCTGGCTATCTATGTATATGTTTGCTCGAGTAGAGTGAAGTACTCCACTCAATCTGATCTATCCCACACAAAAGGAAGTATAACAAGAAAAAGAATTCTGCACAATCATTCTCTCTTTCCTTCGTAACTAGTTGCACAAATCTCATCAATAACATCACCCAAAGCAAATGCATTTAGGCTCAACTCCCAAAGACAAAGTTGGTTTACTTGAGTAAGGGAGTGCAAGCAGGTGACTACTCTTACTTTTCATAAACAGTACTGCTTGTATTGTTTTTCCAAAAAAATGGGTATTTGAGTCATCTTGGAACACCGTCCCCTGTGGTCGGATCAAATTAAACAATCAAAAAGATCCAATCGACTCACCACATTGCCAAGCCAACAAATATCAGTAAAGTAGACCCTCAATTTTTCTAGTGTTTGGGTGGGGGCAGGGAAGGGAATTCAACCCAATGCAACCGAAACTGATGTCAACTATGTGCCAATTCCACGCACACTAATGGAGTAAACCCTAGATATCATCAGTTAACAATGGGTCTGTTGCCTTCTACAATAATTCTTATAACCTCATTGAAACAATGGATCGGTTTCCTTGCCGCCACCAATCCCGACTCCCTGATTGATGAGTTAAATGCTATCCAGTGATCTATGGAACGCTAAATTTTTCCGACTCCAAATGCTCGTAACTGCATTAAGAAACCATAATTGCATTGGTATTATTGAGAGAGATTGAAGTGTTAGCTTGCAGCTTCAATTGGATCAACTTCAATCTCTCCCACCAGCTTAGCAAGATGTTTTTGGTGTCCTCATAGCTTTTTGAGCACATCATCTGTTTACAAGAAATGTGCCCATCATTGTAATTTAGCATCCTAAGTATGTAGGTAGCCTTAAAAGTAGCTATTATTTATCTTCACACCACTTCAGGCTTCTTCCACATTACTTCAGTGATGACTCCCAACTACTAGTCAACATTAAACCACCACCATCCTAGCCCCATTGATCCAGTTATAGTTTCAAACTCAAATCTTCAACCTCCTGGTTCTTGTTATTACTTATGACTTATGAGTGTTAGGGAATCCAACCCAAAACTAATTGGCAATGGATGGAAAGACCCCTCAAGTATATAAACTAACCTTGGGTGATCCTAATTATTGGATGTGGTATACAAGCTCTCTTTACACCCTCCCTCACGTGGAACTTGAACTCGCATGGGGGTTAACAAACAAACATGGCTAGATTGAACCTCAAGGCCCAGCTTTAATACCATGTAAGCATTGATTAACTAGAGAACAAGGAAGAGAGAAGAGAAAGAAAAAAATGCGTTGATACCAATTTAGACCATCCAATCCATAACCAATTGGCAATGGGTGGAGTGGCTCCTCAAGTATATAAACCAACCTTAGGTGATGCTAGTTATTCAATGTGGGATACAACTCTCTTTGCACTGAGGAGGCAAACTTTTGGTAGATTGCAAACAAAAGGGGTTACAGGTAGTCTGGTACAAATAGCTTCCCACAGATGATGTTAAATGGCCATAAATAAGTGTGCCCAGACCGACTGTAATTTGGCTTGTCCGATTCATTTTATCATATCAATCCCCCAAATATTTACATGCTTAAAGTAGTTTACACAGTAAGAATTACTTTTGTAAACTGATTATATTTGGCCAACAAAAAATATGAACAGTTCAAGTTCATATTGGCCCCAGAAACACAGATCCCAAAAAAACCCTCCCCAACCTGTCTTTCTGGTTAGGTTCAAATAGATTGGGTATAAACATTAACTGCATCACTGAGAAGTATAATATTGAAGCAGCAAATTAAAAGAAAATTTTTTTTTGGCACAATGTGCATCGTGCAAAAGCTACTCAACATGAAATCTGTGAACCTCTTATCATCGGGAGTCAACTGTAAATATTTCATGACCTTGAACTGCTTGAACACATGAGACAAGTAGACCAGCACACACCTATGACACGGAAGGTCCTAAGCCAGTGCTTATTGGATCAGTAGATAGTTAACACTATCTTCTACGTCCATCTACATACAACATCAATTGGGTAGCATTTTCCTCCTACCTTCCAAATTGTGAACATTCAAGATTGCCCGCTAGACATAAGACTACCACAAGAGTCATCATAATAGCTACATATCATGCACTCCATTGGCCACATTAAAGATGTTGTGCAAATAGCCAATTTAAGGAACGCATAAAGACAACAGATTGGTAAGTTCAATAGTTCAGTGTTTTTGGAGGGAAATTTCACGGCGATAAATACGACATTGCAAGCATTATCATAAGAAAGACTAACAGCAGATAATGTGCCAACATCAAGCGCCAATGTCAATGGCATCGTGCAGAGACCTCCCTATGGAGGTATCATGATGGCTACAATGTAAAATTGCCCACCTTGAAAAAAGTGGGCCACACCACAACTAAAGAGCATCAAAGAAGATTGGCCACTTTAGTAATGAAAGTATGAAACCACTAATTTATATGACAAATTCACTAAGTGGCTATACAAGATGTTGACAATGTCACATGGCCAAAAAATGTATCTCTGTAAGCTTTTTCCCTGGGTAGTACCAGGCATGGCATATCAATTCAAGATATCAAGTGCTCACGTTGATGGTATCTGCCATGGGATAACTTTCTTTATAACAACAATTTTGAAGCAGACTACTTGTGAGGATGTTACTTCTACAACTAGCCACACAAACACAATTAGCAACACACACACACGTCACACCAAAGTTGAGAGAAACCACTCCACAACCTTATATGATTAACACTAGGATTACAAAGTGTGAAGTTTAAGTTTTGGAACAGATAATTGAGAGAACAATATGAGGAGGCAGAGAAGTAGAAATAATACCCTACGTCTCACTCTCAACTTATATTTATTACCTAAGAAAATATAACGACTATTACACCCTTAGAGAAGTATATTATTACAACTATTTTAAAACAGTAATACTTCAACACTGTCTCACGTTGGACTATATACATTATATGGAACAAATGACTATAAGACACGTACGACTCAATGTTATCTTTGCAAACTGATCCTCAAATTTCACAAATGGTATTGCAATGTCTCCATTCAGTATATTGTCCCGAATAAAGTGACAATCAACTTCAATATGTATGTTCCTCTTATAGAATACTAAATTGACAACAATGTGAAAAGCTATTTGATTATCACAGCATAACGGTAAGGGAAGTTGGATTGAAAAACCAACTTCCGGAAGAAAGTGTAGTAACTAGTAACCACGTCAACTCCCTAGTGGTATGTGTCATCACTCTATACTCAGCCTCAGCACTGGACTATGCTACCACTGTTTGCTTCTTACTTTTTCATTACTATATCACCTCCCAAGAAAATACAATATCGAGTACTTGATCTCCGATTCGGAGGAGAATCAATCCAAACAACATCTATAAAACCTTCCACTCTAAGGTGTCTATTGGCTCGATATAATAACTCAAGTCCATGAGTACGTTTAAACTATCGAAGGATGTAAATGACTGCCTACCAATGTCGGTGGCTGGATAATAGAGAGTGATTCAATTTCCCAACCAACTTGTGGTACTGACCTAGATTTTCAAATAGTGGACCATCATCCATCAACGACTTTTGATTTGAATCCATAAGAACATTAATTGGTCTACCACCTAACAAACCTACTTCTTTCAACATGTCAAGTACATATTTTCTCTGAGATAAACAAATGTCTTGCTTAGATTTGACAATTTTAATACCCAAGAAGTACTTGAGTTGTCCTGGGTCTTTAATAGGAAATCAATCATGCAAGAAGATTTTCAACTTTGTAATACCCTCAGAATCATCACCAATAATTACAATATCATCCAAGTAAACAACAAATATAAGGTGCCACATCAGAATGTCTATAGAAAGCAGAATGGTCTGTCTGACATCTGAGAAGATCAAACTCTAAAACTGTCTCTGAAAACTTACTAATTCACACCCTCGGTGACTACTTCAAGTAATACGGAGATTTCTTTAGTCAACACACTCTTACAATACTCCCCCTGAACAACAAACCCTGGGAGCTGCTCCATGTAATCTTCCTAAGTCAAGTCAGCATGTAAGAAAGCATTTTTCAAATCTAATTGGAACAAATGCTAAGAAAAATTAGCAGTCAAAGAAATCAATGCACGAACAAAAAAAGTTTGACAACCGGAGAAAAATAATTATTCTCATAATCAATGTCATATGTTTTAGTAAAACCCTTGGCAATAAGTCAGGCTTTAAGGCGTTTAGCAGAACTGTCATGGTGGAATTTGACTATATCCACCCACCGACAACCAACAATCTTTTTATCAAGAGGCAATGGAACAAGATCCCAAAGTCTAGTTTTGATGTAAAGCATTCATCTCAACCTTCAGAGTTGCCTCCAAACCCAAACAGATAACGCTCACTATTAGGTCAACCTAGAGTGGGTACAATAGGTGGAGAAATGATAAATCGCAATAAAGGAGGTGGGGGTGAATGTGACGGCACAAAATCAAGATCAATAGGAGGAGCAATGACTTGAAATATGAGACAGAATCAATAAAGGTGACATCAAATACTGGTGAAGTATGGAAGTGTGCGACTAAAGCAACAA